TCTTGGAGAGGTTTTTTTTTTTTTTTGCTATAGGGTGCCAGGAAGATAGAGAGAGACAGAGAAAGAAAGCAAGAAATCACCCCCCAGGGAGGATGGCCATGCCATAATCCCTTCTCCTCCGTTCTCCTCTCGGGATCTTGGGCATGCACGCACATGAGCCCTGAGTGAGTTTAAGCCACCGGGTCTGGGACTCGAACCACGGTCGACTAAATGGGAGTCCAGGGACATAGCCATTATGCTAACTGTTGGTCCCAAGCCTTTTTCTTCTAGCTATACTTTCATTAGACCCATCCATGTAAAGTAGGCCAATGCTCGCTCCACATAAATTGCTTATGTTATTGCAAAACTCTTAAAAATGTAGATGTTGGGACCAGCAGTTAGCGTAATGGCTATGTCGCTGGACTCCCACGTAGTCAACTGCGGTTTGAATCCTGGACCCAGTGGCTTAAAACTCATGCTGGGCACGTGTGCGTGTGTGCCCAAGATCCCGAGAGGAGAATGGAGGAGAAGGGATTGCAGTGTGGCCATCCCCACTGGGGGGCGATTTCTTACCTTTTGTCTCTCTCTCTCTGTCTGTCTGGTGAGCGCACCCGCCCTATAGCAAAAACCTCTAAAAAAAAATGTAGATGTTGATGTTTTCAAAGCACTACTTGAAAGTACATATTATAGACCTGACTAAGAAAGAATTCTCTTCTATTCAAACATTCTTTCTGCAAAAAACCATTTATTTAGCACCTGATTACCCTCTGTGCAAGAGTGGGGTGGGAGGAGAGGCAGGACTCAGAGATGGTATGAAGTTCTCACTGAAGAGAAATAGAGGCCCAACCTTGGTGGACAGTCAGTAGCATACTGAACTGCAGTGCTGGAAGGACTGCAAGTTTGCATCCCAGTCAGCCTGAGAAACATGCTGGGTTATGTCACAGGCACTCAAGACCCTGATGAGGTGACTGGCTGGGGAAGGGGATTGCAGTGGGATGAAATTCTGTCAAGAATGCTTTTCTTGGGACCAGCAGTTAGCATAATGGCTATGTCGCTGGACTCCCACATAGTCTACCGTGGTTCGCGTCCTGGACCTGGTGGCTTAAAACTCATGCTGGGCACGTGTGCGTGTGTGCCCAAGATCCCGAGAGGAGAACAGAGGAGAAGGGATTGTGGCGTGGCCATCCCCCTCTGGGGGGTGATTTCTCACTTTCTGTCTCTCTGTCTCTCTCTGTCTGTCTGGCGAGCACATGCACCCTATAGCAAAAACCTCTAAAAAAAAAAATGCAATCTGGGATGGGGATCAGCAGATGGCATAGCAGTTAAGCCGCTGGACTCCCCTGTAGTTGACTGCAGTTCGAGTCCTGGACCCAGCAGCTTAAAATTTACTCTGGGCACGTGTGTTTGTGTGCCCAAGATCCCTAGAGGAAAATGGAGGAGAAGAGATTGCGGCCTGGCCATCTCCTCTGAGGAGTGATTTCTCTCTTTCTGTCTCTCTATCTCTGATGAGCACACATGCCCTATAGCAAAAATCTCTCTAAAAAATGATAAAAGTAATGATATCTGAGACAGACAGTGGTATAGCAGTAATATAAACTGGACCCAAATGGGAAGGTACTGGGTTTGTGACCCAAGGCCTCCCTCTACATGCACACATTTGCATGATATTGGCTAGGTGAGGCTGGAGTTGGTGTGAGGACCCAGTTGAGCTGTCTCTCTCTGTCATGGAAGGAACAAGTAAATAGACAGCTTAAAAAATGTAATGGAAGCCATATATATTGGATCATCAAAAAAGTCATGACATATTTTTGCATAGAAAAACAAAAAAATATGTCATAACTTTTCCAATGACCTATTTTTTTAAAAAACAATGTAATTCTGATTGACCACAAGTTTTCTAAACTATATTATATATTTTTCTAAACTATATACTCCCCAGTGCTCATGAAGTGGGGAACATACAAGCCTTTAGAAAAGTCTATGAATTCTTTGATCAATGCTCTGATTTCTCTGCTACTTTATCACTCTTCCTCTCTCTTTTTAATATTTCTCACCAGGGTATGGGAATATTGCTCCAAGCACAGAAGGAGGCAAAATCTTTTGTATTTTATATGCCATCTTTGGAATTCCACTCTTTGGTTTCTTATTGGCTGGGATTGGAGACCAACTTGGAACCATCTTTGGGAAAAGCATTGCAAGAGTGGAGAAGGTCTTTCGAGTGAGTACCGCCTCTGTTTAAACCCTAACTGCTGAGACCCAGTTGGCTTTAGCCTGACAGGACCTGGAAGGCCTTATCAAGGGCATTGTCTGTTTTTAATGAAATAGCTTAATGTTATGTTCTTTTTTTTTTCTTTTTTCTATTTTGGTCAATGTCAGTCGGAGATTTTGTGCCTAAACTTCCTTGTCTTGGTATTTCTAAAGTAGGAAGGATTATCAACATAGATTTTCTGGAGAAGTGAGGCATACTTAGTGTCTTAGGTTGTGCTGTTGTAATGAAACACCTGGAAGTGGGTTTCTTATATTGAATAGAAGTTTGTTACTGTGTCCTCTGCAGGGAAAGAATGCTGAGTTCTCACATTTCAGAAGGGTCAGAGGGAAAAAAGGCTTAACAAGATCTCAAACACTTCTTTTATAAGAGCCTTAATCCTATTCATAAGGAGAAATCCAGAATCACCTGTAAAGGTCCTCTCTGTCTCTGTCTCTCTCTTTCCCCTTCAGAGTGTGTGTGTGTGTGTGTGTGTGTGTGTCTTATCTCTTAATACTATCACCTTGGCTATTAAGTTTCAACACATGAATTTTACAGGGGATGCATTCGAACCATAGCACTCAATTCATCCTTATAGATGGGAGATGGGTTTCTTAGTGCGTTCATATGAAGTAGAGAAATATAAATTCATTAATTTTGTTACTGGAACTCATTCCATTTTATTTGCAAGCACAGTGTCTTCAGGTTCATCCTAGCTACTTCCAAAAGTCTGCCTTCTCCAAACACTGCTCTGTGATTTGCTCCAAGGCTATGGCTCTGTCTCCCTCCTTTCATGGTTGAACTCTCCCTTAGAAATTATATATCAATGAACTTCTTCATACTGTAGTATTGGTGATTGCTCTTATCTCAGTAAGTCCCCCACCTCCCCCTTATTGGAAATGCTTACTTTAAAACATGACAAAAGTCTCAACTTAAGACATTTATTTGCTAAAGATGACATTCCTGAAAAAAACTGCTCTCAGTGACAGGGATGGGGAGTGAATATGACTAGGCTGGGATGCCTATTACTTTGAACTCACACCTGCTCATATAATTTAATGGAATGCTTATTTTGCTTAGACATAAGGTCATTTCTGCTCTCTTACTCAGTATTTACCTAATTCTCAATTCTCTCAAGGCATTTTTAGAGAATTAATTTTTATGATGACTTAATATTGAAAAATGACACTGTGTGATTATTTCCAGAATCTAGCAATGATTGGCAAAGATTGATCAGCAGTAAGCTCTAGAGCTATGTTCCCCTCACCCCTCAAATTCAAGGCTCTCTGTTTCTGAAATCATGGCTTACATTTCTCTTTAGGAGTGCAAGGGAACTCCCTAGTTGAGCCAGTTATAAGTTCTTTTCTTTTCTCTGAGTAGAGTGGGAGGAATAATGCATGGTAATTGGGTTAGAGCCATCATATATAAGCTCAGTGATCCTGAATAAGCTGCCTCAGTTTACTCCTCAGAGTAAAGAGATAGTATTTGAATCTACTTTGTAAGGCTGTAGCAATGATGAAAAGTATAGCACAGGGCCAGACATACAGAGTTCAGAGCTGCTAAGTCTGTCCCCAAGAGAAGCACTCATTGATAGGCTAGCCAGCCGCTCAGGTTTTATCCAAGTAGCTTGGTGGCATGTGATTTTTTGTGGAATATCCCACAGCCATTGCCTCCCCTAGTGCTGGCTGGCCAGCCAGCCTCATTAGAGCTTGCACCTGGGTGCTCAGTGGTCACCATGGAAACCATCAATGCCAGCTTTTCTGCTTCTCAGATGTTTAGCTCTAAGTCTGACATGGCAACCCTGTCTCCAAGAGCTGATTTGAACTTCTCTGATGTGCCCTCTTAGCCATGTCTCATTGCCCTCTGAGTTAGAGAAAAATGAATCCTATGGATTGAATGCTCAGAACAGGATTCAAACAAAAAAAGCGACTGATCTGTCATTTTTATTTTTATGTAGCTTCTCTAGATCTTGGTTTCTTTATTTGTGGAAGAAAGAATTGGACTAAAAGCTCTGGAAATCCCCCCCCCCAAAAAAAATCCTAGTTACTTTACTATTTTTTTGAGTTTTATTTATTTCTTCCATGAGGGAAAGACAAACACACAGAGAGAGAAACAGAGAGCTAGTGGGAGAAACAGAGAGGTATACAGATACAGGGACTCCTCCAGCAGGATCCTCACTCCACAATCTACTCCTAGCCTGAGGCAGCCTGGATCACAGGCATGTGCCCAGCATGTAGAGGGAGACCATGGGACATGAACCAGGGACTCATGTGAGTCCAATCGCATGACCGTCTGGCCCTTACTGTACTGTCATGAGAGAAGAGGTGGCAATCATTTTGACTACATCTGTTTCTAAATTGGGACGTAATCTCCCACTAATGAATTTCAGAGTACAAGTAGAGTAGGCTGTTCTCCTTTCTCTTAAAACTGCCTCTCAAATGAACTATTCAACAGATTCTGGGACAGAGCTTTAAAAATCTCACATTCCTTTTTTATGTTGATTACCCGCTCAGTTCCTCACAGTGCCATCAAGACCAGAAGTCTTTTTGGAAGGCGAGACAGTTGAGTGTTGTCGAATTGGCAGCATGCAATTTGCCAAATGTTGGAGGGTGCTTTTGGAAGGGGTGACCAAATTCTAGGAGGAATATCAATTCACTTCCTGAATATATAAATGATGCTGTAGCAATTTGCTTGCTGCATTTAAAGTTCGGGTAGAAAAATCTCAAAGCTCTTTGCCATTCATTTAAGCTACATTCAAAAGCCAAATTATTCTTAGGTGATTATTTGAGAAATAACAGTTTTATAAGCCGATAAAACTTGGGATTGTGAATTTTTAGTTCTCATGGGGAAGGTATATTTTTTCCCCCATCTGCACCATGATTGTTAAGACTTTTCTTTATTTCCTTTCAGCTCTTGGGAGGAGAGAAAAAAAATTTTTTTGTAAGTAAAAGTAGAACATAAAGTCAGTCTTCTAGGTATCTATATTTAGGGGTGGCTCGATTTGGAACTTTCTAATATATCCTAGGTCTGATCCTCATTTTGAAGAATTGCTGAAGGGCACTGTATTACTTAGGAATACAATACTTTTGTCTGCAGAGACATAAACTGCTTGACTATTGGGGTTTGTTGGGGGAGAATAAATAAAAACTCTTTATTTCCCTCTGGAGTTCAGAACTAATTAAAAGATAGAAGCAGATGGAGATAAAAAAATGTCTGTTTTCTTTCTTTCTTTCTTTTTCTTTCTTTCTTTCTTTCTTTCTTTCTTTCTTTCTTTCTTTCTTTCTTTCTTTCTTTCTTCCTTCCTTCCTTCCTTCCTTCCTTCCTTCCTTCCTTCCTTCCTTTCTTTCTTTCTTTCTTTCTTTCTCTTTCCTTCTTTCTTTTTGCTGAGAAGCTGATCAAAGACTGTGATTTTAACTCTGTTGCCAAAAGGACTTACTAACTGCTTCACCCTGAATTAGAAGGACTCAAATTGTACAGTTGGCCATGTGAGATCCAGCTATCTGAGCCACCATGCCACCAGCTGGCCCTTATATATTTTGTAAGAACTTGCCACACAGACTTCTGAGGTTGTACCATTTTATATTCCCATCATCAATGAATCAAAGTTTCTGTTGCTTCAGATCCTCATTAACATTTGTTGATGTCAGTATTCTGGGTTTTGGTCATTCTAATAAGTTTGGAGTGGTATCTCACTGCATTTTCCTGATGAACTGATGTGGAGCATCTTCTCCTATGCTGATTGGCATCTGAATACCTTTATTGGTGAGGTGTTTGTTAAAGTCTTTGGCCTATTTTTTAACTGGATTTTTTTTTAAAGAGAGATTTTTTGCTATAGGGTGTGTGTACTCACCAGAGACACAGAAAGACAGAGAGAAATAAAGTGGGAAATCACCTCCCAGAAGAGAGGACCATATTACAATCCCTTCTCCTCTATTCTCTTCTTGTGAGTTTCAAGCCTCTGGGTCCAGGACTTGAACTGTAGTCAGTTATGTGAGAGTCCAGTGCCATAACCACTATGTCACCTGCTGACCCCTGTTTTTTTTAAATTTTAATCAGTAAGCTTTTTTCTTTTAAAATTAATTAATTAATTAATTAAAATATGTAACAGTCCTTTATCAAGTGTATCTTTTGTGAATATTTTCTCCCATTCTATGGGTTGTATTTTCATTCTCTTGATAGTGTCTTTAACAGAGCAGAGAATGTTAATTTTAATGAAGTTCAGTTTATCAGATTTTTTTTTTTCAGGGATGGCGCCATTGGGGTCTTATCTAAAAAGTCATTGCCAAACCCAAATTCATCCAGATTTTTTTCCTGTGTTATAAGAGCATCATAGTTTTGTATTTTATATTGAGGTCTGTGATCCATTTTAGGTTAATTTTTATGAGGGGTGGAAGAACTGTGTCTACAACCTTATTTTTTTGTGCATGTGGATGCCCATTTGTTCTAGTACCATTTTTTGAAAAGACTATCATTTCTCCATTGTGTTGACTTTTCCTTTTTGTCAAAGACAAGTTGACTATATTTACGTGGGTCTATGTTTATGTGGCTCTCTGTTCAATGGATCATTTGTTTGTCTTTCTCCAATACCACACTGTCTTGATGACTACAGTTTTATAGTAAATTTTGAAGTTGGCTAGTGTCAGTCCTTCAACGTTCTTCTTAATTTTTCAATATTGTGTTGCCAAGGATTCCTTTAATGGAGAAACATTTCTCAGAAGTTATCCTGCAAACTCATTGACCAGAGCTGGTTACATAACCATTCCCACCTGCAAGGGAGGTAAGGAAAGTGAGTGTCTGGAAAGGATGACCATACTGCCTTGATTGATTTAGGTCAGTGTTTCTCAAAATTTGGTCCC